AAAAAAAAAAAAAGTACATATTCCATCACTAGCAATCCCTCCCCCAATCCCCTACTCCCATTCCCACCCTAGAGATAGGAACCTATTATTCATCATTACTAACATTTTATGAAAGGCCTGTTTATTTTTCTATTTTTAGATACATTTTTAAATTACAGAAAATGGGATTGTTAACCAACCTCTCAGTGGAGGTTTTTTGTTTTGAAACAGAGTCTCACTTTATTGCCCTGGATAGAATGCCATGGTGTCATAGCTCATAGCAACCTCAAACTCTTGGGCTTGAGTTGTCAGTCCTCTTGCCTCGGCCTCCTGAGTAGCTGGGACTACAGGCATGTGCCACTACGCCCAGCTAGTTTTTCTGTATTTAGTAGAGATGGGATCTTGCTCTTGCTCAGCCTGGTTTTGAACTCCTGAGCTTGGCCTCTCATAGTGCTAAGATTACAGGCATGAGCTACTGCACCTGACCCTGAGTGGGTTTTTTCCCCAAGTTCTTGGTATTTGTCATGGAAAAGAATTTTAGGATGTACCAAGTAAGCCAAGCAAACAAAAGCTTTATTGAGAGCAAAAGTACACTCAGAAAAGAGAATGGGCAGGCTCAAAAGGGAAGGGCTGCCCAAAAAGGAAGTGCTCTTAGATCTTTTAGTCTTACTGAGGGGAAGAAAATTCAAGGCCAAGAGGTTGGCTTTTACTAAAAATTTGGGTAGTAATTTCTAAAATTGAGTTCTCATTTTTATACTTTATATGATGTCTTAGAACTGTCATGGTGATTTCAAGGGTGGAGAAATTTTAAAACCGCAGTGTAAATGATACTGTAATCAGCTAATGTTCATTTAAGGTGGCAGTTCTTGCCTGCAGTTATAAGCACCTTTTAAGTGCTGTTTTCTTTAACACGTACCCTGACCTTCAAGCCCTTGTATCCAGTCTCAGCCGTGCCTCCTAGTCTCCTACTCTAACAGGATGATTCTTTAGTTAAAGAGATTTAGCTTCCTGAAAAACCCCAGGTTCTTGTTCTCATATTTTCACAGAGTGAATTAGTATACCCCAAATTGGTAAAAAGCTTTGTTGGTGACACCACCAGAGGGCACTCTCATACAGAGCTCTATTTGAACGTACCTTCACCCAAAAGAAGTGACATTTCAAAGTGCTTAATTAGCAGAACATTTGGATGTGCATTAGCCGAGAAGGACTAGTAGAATAAATGGCAGTAGTGAAATTAAGTGTTGGAATATTCTGAGGTCATTATTCATTCTGTTTATCCATTCATCAAACATAAAATTAGTTCATGTGAGGAGTCATACTTTTTGGTTG